TACTGCTGGACATCTTTTGCGACGATGAAATTAACCGGGCCCGTCTCCTCGCACAGTCGATACCGGAAGCTGGCATATGGTTAAATGCTTTGCCCTTGGCATATACCGGTAACCTCTTGGACGATGACACCGTGAAGATATCAGTCGACCTGAGGCTGGATGTAAGTATCTGCGAAGCACACTCCTGTTCGAAGTGCCACAAGCCCGTTGTTGTGTATGGTCACCAGTGACCACGGCTTATCCTGCGCATTCTCAGCTGGAAAGCATCTACGCCATGGCGGCCCGAACAGTATTTTGTGCAGATCGTTAGTATCAGCCGGCATCCCTGCAAAATTGGAGCCGCGAGGTACATCCCACACATCGGACCGCCGCCCAGATGGCTGCACCACGTTTGCGTGGCAACGCGGTATGTGTTTGGCGTGGGACGTGACCTGCGTGGATACTGTCACTATGTCTCACCGGAAAGCCACATCAGTCACTGCGGGATCCGCCGCCGCACAGGCGGAGGATAGGATAGCGGGATTGTACTTGTACTTACAGGGCAGAAACATCTTCGTACCGCTGGCTTTTGAAACTCTTGGACCATGGGGAAAGTCAGCTAGCCGCTTAGTGAAAGAAATTGGCAAGCGAATTCAACAGCATACGGGTGAGCCTCGCTCCTATGAGTACCTCCGTCAACGACTGTCCCTGGAAATTCAGCGAGACAACGCTGCTTCCGCGCTCGGGATAATGGAGGGAGCGGCAGCATTAATTGAATTACTTTTTATTTGATTTATTGTTTTGAAACAGTGATGTAACCGCTTCTTGTGAAATCAATAAAATAGAATTACTCTAGGTACATATTTTCAGCGTCACCCTACTTTTTAATAACGATCAAGTTAATATTAAAATTTTCATTTCTCTTTTGCTGATTTGACCGTATGTCTCTGATGCTTGGCCAACCGTAGAGTATACTGTGTACATAAGGAGCACTGCAATGCTGCCAGAAAATGCGCTATGTTCATTTGGACAATGCATCGGTAAGGAATTTTGCCCCTAGCTGTTGTTTTGTTACGTTTAAAAATTCAAAATATGATCGCAGAAGTCAGTAGAAAGTTTGGAACAACTGGTAATAGTTATTTCGATAATCTCGGTGCTGTTTTCTTCACGCGTTTAGGTAACCTATCTGCACTCTGTAGCTTGCTAAAATTTTGTTTATCGACAATGGAGCACTGTGACCGCGGACCGCGGTGACCAAACCGAAGCCGCCGCCGTTTCTTGTAAGTTTCTAAGACTAATTTTATATAGCTAATCCTAGTGCAACCAACTGGAACTGAAGGCTCTATAATTTATTTAGTATTGATCTCACGCAGTGACCAAACTGTTGGACTAGAGTATAATCATTAAATACCACGCATCCACTAGAGCTTTTCTAAGAACGTCGTCGCTTCATTACAAAGAAGGCAATTCCTGCGAGGAGAGCCACACCCGCCAGAACCCCGATGACGATCCCCGCGATTTCCCCACCCGACAGTCCATCATCAGCCGGCGCCACGGTCGCCCCGATCGCCGTGGTGTTCATCCCTTCCGGCGGCGTCGTGGTGGCATGAACCCAGCCGAACTCGCATGCCCCTCGCGCCTCACTGTCCTCGGCCAAGTAGAAGCGGAAGGCGCGGCAACAGGAGTAGTTGTCTAGCTGCACTCGGAACACCGCCGTGCCGTTGACGTTCTCCATCGAATAGGTGTTCGTGCTGGTCCCGGTGGCTGGATTAAAAGGGCTGGATTGCTGCTCCGTCCTCAAATCGGTGGAGGTGTCCAGAAACCCGCCGTAGGCATCGGTAAACTCCAGGACCGTGTCCCAGGTGGCATTGGCACACTGGGGACCCTTCGGACAGTTGTTATACGATGTGGCGTTCGCGGTGCATTGCGGCGGAGTGGGCGCAACGCCCGGGATGAGGACCATGGGGCGGACCAGATAGTTCCCGGGGAGGGCGTCTTGATACAGCCGGTCGGAGCCCATGCCGAACACCATATAGTTTACGCTATGGTTAGCGCCCAACGGAACGGTAATGTTGCTGAGCAGAGTTATGCCGCCATCGTACGGCAGTGCTAGGGTAAGAATATCAGTGTCTGGTCGGCTGACAAACCCGATGTGATCCACAGCCGACACCCTCCCGGTGGTGTTACCCGCGAACTGCATTCGGACCACTGTATTTCCACCGGGAACCTGGACTTCCACCGGGCGCGAGAAGGTTATCGTGGCGTTGGAGCGCGTCGGCCGGATGATGTCCGTGAAGCGGTGGTACGCGGTGCCGTTGACTGTCTCGGTGACCCTTATCCTGAAGGGCTCCGCCGGCACCGTGAGGTTCGCCTGCGCCTGGATTTCGTTAAACCCGGAAGACCCGGTAAGAACCACCTCTGTTGTGGCGGTCACCAGCGAAATGGTGGCGTTGGTCGATCCCAACGTCATGACCGTGTAATCGACGCCGACAAGGGGGTCGTTCTCCACGCGCTGACCTTCGGCACCGTGGCGGGAAAACGGGTCCAGCCGGTACAAACCCAACTGCGCAAAGCTCTCTGTCGAAATATACGCGCGTACCGACCACGTTTCCGTTGGGTCCGGATGGATCAGCATGTGCTTGACTTTAATGCGCCACTCTGTTTGGTTCGTTGGACCGACGGTCACCCAGGTCCCGGCTTCGTACCTCACACAGGGCTCACCGTCCTCTGTCTTCTCGCAAATCATGACACCGACACTGCCGATCCAGATCCCCGCGGGTTGCTCGGTGCCGTACAAGGGCACAACGATTTCTTTCTCCACGTCGCGCGAAGCGTCGACCACTGCGGCCAAGGCGAGGTCATCGCGGACGGCGAAATGGAACACCTGCTCAGCCGCCTCAGTGCTCCCTGTTAGCGGGTTAGCTGACTGGTCGGTGAAGCTCCCTCCGGTTCGTTCCACGATGCGTGCGTAATCCGCCTGCTTAGTGACGTTGTTGACCCCGATGATGACCAAACGCTGCTGTTTGCTCTCCAGGATCGCCGACACGACACGCGGTGCGTAGGTGCTAGTAACCACCGGCGCGGCGTCGGTCAGGAGAATTATGGTGCTGCGGCTGTCGGCGTTACGTGCCGCCAGGCTGACCGCCTCGAGCGCGTGGCGCCGACTGTCGGTCTGGTTGGTGTCGGTGTCGGTGCAGATTTCCCGTTGGGCGCTGCACGCTGCAATTAGATTTCCTAACATGACCGTAAAGCCGTCCGCGGTCGTCTGGTACGGATGGGATTTAGGGACGGCGTTCACGCGGTCGAAGGTATACAGTGTGAATCCCGCCAGGTTGTTGGATAGCGTTTGGTTCAGGATCCCGACGCGGCTGAGCAACATCCGTAAGCGTTCGCCCGCTGCCGCCTGGTACGTAGTATCCACAACGACGACTAGATCCTTGCCCTGGGACTGCCGACGGATGCCCAGCACCTGCGGGAACAGGTCGATCGTCGCGTTACGGATGCCGGTTAGAAAGGTCAACACGGCGCCCTCGGAGTGGTTGGAGCGGTCCTGGACCATGTGCAGCGCCTGACCAATCAGCGTGCGGGCTTCGTGGAACTGTCGGGCGTTGATGGTCTGAATGGCGGCACGGGTCCATTCATCGAGAATTCGGTCGGCGACAGGATTCGGCGTCTGGGTGCCGGCGTGCCAGACGGCGCTGTTGCGGCGGCCGCTAGCCACGCCGTCGATGAAGACGCTGGCGTCCATGATGTGCTGCAGCGCGTGTAAATCCGCCGCGGGGACGCGGCGGCCAAAATTCAGAGGGGTGTCCTCTTCCGTGCCTCCTGTTGGAAGGGGAAGGAGGTCGGGATTGGCCAGACCCTGGGAGGCTTCGTCGTAGACAATGTATCCCATTCTAGATAGTGCGAAGAGTGTCGCCTCGCGACGGGTTTCCATGGGCGGCTGCGCCAGCGCCACGCTGACGACTACGGATAGTAAAAGCAGGCACCTGCGCATTTTCAGTTTTAACATAAGAAAGCGTTAAGCGATCATTTATAATTATGGCAGAGGAAAAGGTGCAGTATACTGCTTTTAGAGCATTCTTTAATAAGCTGTTTTACAAGAACAAATTTGCGCATATTGATTATGCTGACAATCGAGCATTGTGAAACGGACGTACAGTATTGTGTGTGCTGTAACAATAACTTTTTGATTGTCTTATCTTATCTCAGGTGTCCATACAAGTCCAAACAAGAGAGTCCACTAACGTACAGTTACACAATAACTGTCTTTGCTGCCGGTGTGCGTAACATTGTTCAGATAAAGATAACGACGAACGACGGTAGGGACTCGGCGAATGCGGCTAAGTTTAAGCACCAATAAGTTCAGATTGCAGACTTGAATCTGAATTTGTGTTGTAATTTGAACTTGTGCATTCCAGAAACGAATAGACAGCATCGACTGGCCGTCTGCCAAGGGATGTGGAAACAGCCGATACTCGAAATGGCCAGGCCCATCGAATACCCCGAATTTCGAGCAATGTCGACCGGTCATCAGTCTATTCGTTCGACACACGATCAACCGCTTTTATCGCTTTCTCATACGATTTTTCCACAAGAATTTCATACAAAGCGAATACTTCCCCCACTTCCCCATATTTACCAATGGCCACCACTACCACTTCAAACTGGAGAGAACGCAGTCGTAGCAATTCACAACAGTATTTAACTGACAATCGTTATACATACAACCACAGTTACTCTGCCGGTGTAAAGTATCGGCCATTTCCATTGAGCATCTCGAAACCAGTCTCCAATCAGGCGCCACGTGGTGAATGGCAGAACAACTTCTGATTATTATTTAATCCGTTTGTCTCGGTCTTATCGACAGACAACAGACACTTGTATATTGTATTGCAGTCACAGGCAACAAAGAACACGATAACGGAAACAGGCAGCGTGTGCAAAATGGACGTCATTTCTCTTCGATTCTTCGCTCTGCCCATTATTTTAATCAGTACCGCTTTAGGGATCAATATATTAATCACTTTTACTGCATAGATGCAGTGCTAGTCTAACTGCATAGATTGCATCCCTGATAAGCTGCACAGGCTGCATAGACTGAATGGTAATGCATAGACTGCATATCAATCAGCCGTGGTTGTTCATGTGGCCGCTCGCCACAGGGGCTATCAGTTCGGTAAAGTGATTAATATATTGATCCCTAAAGCGGTACTGATTAAAATAATGGGCAAAGCGAAGTATAAAAGCAATGTTAATAGGTAAAAGTTTTAGTGCTCTTACGGAAACCTACAACATTGAGCCTGGGCATAGTACTGCAAATCAAATCCCAAGACCTTGCAATCCATAAAATCTGCAGAACGAGGTTATTATACGACAGCGATTACGCGCTATCGTCGTCACTTTTATGACAATGCGGCGATCTTGCCTTTGTGTACTTTTGGGGCTAGCCGCGCTTATTGTCCCTGATGTAGTGTGGTGCAATGGATCTACTGTGGAGAGTGAGTACACATACCGTAAATAGAGCAGTTAGTATAATGATGATTACAATACATAGTCGTAATGCACTAATGATTACAAGATGCCGAGGGCAACGATCCTTAGACCAGATGCTTCTGTTTAAACTTGAGCGCCGTAAACTGCTAGCACAGAATACATACATTAGGAGGCTTGGAAGAAAATTCGATAGGCTCAATTTTAAATTTGGCTTTTCTTCTTTACTTGTCCGTAGATGAGGGTCCGTCGCCGAATCCTGCGTGTTACTACGTGCGGAGGGATACGGGTGACCTTCATCTTACTTGCCGATCTAACGGGCTCATGATCCCGGATGACTTTGACGTGGCCAGAATTCGAAAAGACGTGCAAACTCTTTCCATCGGGGGCAACTCTTACGATGCCTTCCTGTCATCCAGCGCACCACCGCTGCCGGCCGACCTCTTGGCTCTCCAGCACGTTGAACTAGCATATTTCGTTATCGAGAGAAACTCTAGCATGGTAATCAAGCGATTCCTCAACAACGTCAAAGGCCGCCTACATTCCCTAAGCGTCTTCGACAGCAAAGTGACTTCCCTGGACGACGGGTTTCTCCAGGATTCTCGCAGCTGCGGGAGTTGGATTTCACCAAGAATCATATCTCGATCATCAGCAAGACCGCCTTCCAACGGGAGACCACCGGGCCGTCGCTCAATCTCCGGTTGGGGAGAAACCGACTGGAGAGCCTGGACTGGACCGTTTTCCAGCCGATTACCAGCAGCATCGGTGTAAGAAACGCCTTTGCACTACTGCTTCTGGTCTTTTATCGTACAGTTGACCATTTATTTGCATAGGATCTGGAGCTGGACTATCAGGATCCGGGACTGAAATCCGTCCACTGCTCCACCACGTTCCGCTTCCCTCAATCTATCGGTCGTGTGCTGTTGACCAACAACCAACTGGAGTTCTTGCCGCAGTGCATGCTGGACTCTCTTAACATCTTTGACGGCCGCATTCACATGAAGGTAGACAAGAACCCCTTCTGCCCATCGGACGGAACGTGCGCTTGTCCCGCTATGCAGCCGTTTCTGCACTTCCTCTGCGATTTCGCTACCAGCGACTGGGACTACGGTCTGAACTTCACATGCGGCACGCCCTTCACATCCAGTCAGCGCTGGTGGAGCCCGAAACAACTGCCGCCCAACGTTACTTGCAGAATGAAGGACAGTCGCTGGTGCAAACGAACGCCTTGCTGGTGGTAGCTACAGCATTGCTGTTCGGTGTTCTACGTGCAAATTGGTGTTTGTGACCACTGCATGGCGGCATTCGACAGCTCAAGTTCGAATGCTCTTCTTGTGCTTCGTTAGAAATGACAGAAATGAAACAATGAACTGTGTGTGACGTGTAACGCCGCCCTCCATGTATGAAAGCACAGACATGCTATACGGAAGGTGCACTACGACTACCGTACCAGATGACCATCCAACTAATTGTTCCCACGTTATCTAAGATAACGTGGGAACATAAGAATATGAACTATATCTTATGCCTAATCCACGAACAACCAATAAACCAATTCAGCATGTACGTGCACGAATAAATAATAAAATAATTTTGGATGATGTTGTTATCCAGAAATTGTGACTTCCGGTAGGTATACCCCACACAAACTTATGCTTTCGCAACAAGACACAAGAGCGCTCATAGCATAAGTTCGTATCAGCAACTGCAATTCACAACTAAATTTTAGTCTAGACTAATCTTTCAAGAAAACCAAATATCACAGTTCTGTTTTAGCGTGTAGCAGTTTACAAAGATAAAGCAACGCCGACAATAATACACGGCGTTTACACAATCAATAAGGAGTCAGAGAACATAAGTACGCATGCACTCGTATTAACCGTTAGTTTATTAAAGCCGTACATCATGGAATGTTATTATTATTATTATTATTATTATTATTACATCAAGAGCAGACAACCCGTTTAACGGGACTTCAACGTCTGGTCGCTACAAAAACAACGTTAAGATTACGACAGATCCACCATTCGGAGAGCAAATTTGAAAAAACCAACACCATCAACGCTGAGTATCTGCATATTAACGTTTTGTATGCGCTCGAAAATGTCCCTTAAACGCATGGCCAACGTGCCTTCCCCGATCTTCTTCTTCGCTTTGGCTTCGATTCTTTTGGCTTCCGGAGGTTATACCGCGCTGTAACATCCGTGAAGTCAATCATGTCGACCAGGTACTGTGGAGGATGGTACGCTTCGTGGTTGTAGATCTTGTACAACCATACTGCCTCGGACTGCTTCCAACGGTCGTACACCGGCAGGATGCGCAGTTTCTGGTACAGCTCGGGGGTTACCCGCTCCTTGTAATCAGAAATCGCCCGCAGTGCTTTCCGCTGTGCTTTAGCCAGTTTGCCGCGCAAAGCCAAAGATGCCGGTGACCACGTATCCGACCCGTAGTCGAAGTGTGGCTGCACACAAGCATGGTAAAGGCTCCTACGCTGGGGCAGATCCAGGCCGTCTTTCGCGCAGTTAATCATTGCGATACCGTAGTTAACTTTTCGCAGCACGTGATCTACATGCGTTCCCCACTTCAGGTTGCGGTCTATGTAGATCCCCAGATACTTTACGCACTTTTCTTCCTCCATCTGGTAGCCATTGATCATCACCACTGGAGAAGGTTGGCTGTTCTTCGGTTCGGAACAGATGTACATGAGTTTGCACTTCTTTTCGTTTATGCAGAGGGTGTTATCTGCAAGCCAGGTTGTCACACTGCCAATCTGCACGCTTAACTTCGCTGCAGCTTCTTCTTTCGTGCGGCCGATGCCATACAGTACCGTATCATCGGCGAACAATTCTGCGTCATTTCCATTTGGCATATCGTTTATGTACACAATGAACAACACAGGCCCCATCCTTGTGCCTTGCGGCACTCCCGACCTATATACTATACTTATCATGTTATCCAACTATCATCACCGACTGGCGACTACGAATACACCGAATTTCGCGCAATGCCGGCAGGTCATTAATGTATCAATTTTATTTAACTTACATTCGACCGCTTTTATCGGATTTCTTGTACAGTGTTTCCACAAGAATTTGATACAAAACGATTCCTTCATTCACTTCCATTCCTTTAACAAGGGACAATGCTTCAAACTACTGATAACGCAGTTCTTTTCGGAGACAATTCACTTTCGCTGGATACGTAGCACCACAGTAGCTCTGCCCCGGTACCAGCCCTTTCAATGGAGCAGCTCGTAACCAGTTAACTACCAAGGATTACGTGGTTAATGGCAGAAAAACAGTTTCTCATTGTTGCCATAACAAGTATACAAACATTTAATCAGACTTAATCAGACGTTTTTGTCTCGGCCTTATCGACAGACAACAGACACTTGCGCGTTATTACTACAATCACAGGAAACAAAGAAAACGGTAACGGAAATAGACAGCACGTGCAAAATGGACGCCGTTTCTCTTTGGTATAAACTCAGTGTAAAAGGGTAAAAGTTTTTGTGCTCTTACGGAAACTACGATAGTCAGTTTGGGTATCCCGTAGGTCTGCCAATCAAATCTCAAGCAAGGCCTTGCAATCCATAAAATCTGCAAACCGAGGTCACTATACAACGGCGATTACGCGCTATCTTCGCCACTTAAATGACAATGCGACGATCTTGCGTTCGTTTACTTCTGCGGGCTAGCCGCGCTTATCCTCCTTGACGTGGTGCGGTGTAGCCATCGATATACTGTAGAGAGTGAGTACATATACAGATCGAAAAGAAAATATTAGTATAATAATGATGAGTAATTGCTATAAGATGTTGACAGCCGTGATGATCCTTAGACTCAGTTCATGGGTTTAACTTGAACGACTTAATTGCCAGCGCTGGTACGAGGTTTCAAAGTAAATTTGATAGGCGTCTTTCTGTACTGTAGATGAGGGTCCGTGGCCTCACCCCGACTGCTACTACTGGTGATTGGACACGGCTGACCTTTACCTTTCCTGCCCCTCTAACTCTCGCGGCATCCCAGACAACTTTGACGTGGCGAGCATCCGCAAAGACGTCCAGCATATCGGCATCAGTCGCGACGACTACCCTACCGTCCTGTCATCCACTACACCACCGCTGCCGGCCGACCTCTCGGGTCTCCTGCAGGCTACGCTGCAAGGTTTCGTTAACGAGAGGAAATCCAGTGTCCTGATCAAACGGTTCGTCGACAACGTCAAAGACCGATTACATGGCCTTGTTGTCACCCACAGCAAAGTGGGTGGCTGGAAGACGGGTTCTCTCAGGGATTCTCGCAGCTGCGCGAACTGGATTTAACCGGGAACGATATCTCGGTCACCTAAGAAACCTAAGATACGCCAATGAATTATTCCTTATGGTACTGTATCGTTCTGTTCAGCATTTGTTCGTCACAGAGATTAGCGCTGGACTGGCAGCGTCCGGGACTGAAATCTATCCACTGCTCTACTAATTTCAGCTTCCCTCAATTTACCAGCGACGTGCTGTTGGGCAACAACCAACTGGAGTTTTTGCCGCAGTGCATGCTGGACTCTCTTAACGTCAAAAGCGGCGGCCGCATCCATATGAACGTGGACAACAACCCGCTGTGCCCGACGGACGGAACGTGTGCCTGTCCCGAAATGCAGCCGTTTCTGCACTTTCTCTGCGATTTCACCACCAGCACCTGGAATTACGGTCTGAATTTCAGCTGCGGCACGGCATCCGATCAGCTTTTGTGGAGTCCGAAGCAACTGCCGCCCAACGGTACTTGCACCAGTAACGAAGGACTTGCACCAGTAACGATCGCTGATGCGAACGAACGGGCTGCTTGTACTTGTAGTTACAGCATTGCTGTTTGGTGCTCTGCGTGTTTGTGACCTTTGCATTGACGGCATTCGGCTGTCTCATGTTATAATGTTTTTTCGCTTTGAAATGATAAAAATCTGATACATAATAAGTTATGCGCTACGGCGTAACGCCGTTCTCCGTGTATACTACAAGTATAAGTGCTAAAAGTAATACATAAAACCCTGGAACGTAACCATACATTTGTGAACCGCATTTACTACAGTTCAACTTCATACGTTCGCAGAGACCATATCCCACAGTTATATCCGCAAATGCTGGCTGCTTAGTACTTACCAAGATGATTAATTTAATTTGCAGATAATTAATTTAATTCAGTCACCTTAACGTCAGCACACAATCTGGGTTTGGACCCAATTCGAGGCAGCTGACACAACGTAGAAAATTGAGACAAAGAAGTTGGCAAGAGAACGTAAAGTACGTTATCGTAATTCCACAACAGCAGCGTTCAAAGTTCAAGGACGATGTAAAGACGTCCGCGAAGTTTAGAAACAAATGATATTTATAAAAAAGCTTTTAAACGGTTTAGCGACTCATATACTCCTGCACGTAGCGGTATGCGGATATCACGACCACCTAACAGATGCTGGGCAGCAAGAGCGGGCCACTTTCCTCCGGTTACCCTGTGTGCGTTACATTACCGGGACCGTTGCAACGTTTTCCTGACACTCCCACAAAGAGTGGACAGCGTTCTCTTAACAGCCAAACAAGTCTAGCGCCATCTTTACAAAAAAGGCAAAAAACGCGTTAACGAACTGCTTAGTCTAAGGTCATAGATCACTTAGGTTCATTGTAATATGAGTGGTTCTTGTACACCGCGCCATAACATCTTGCTAAGTAATGTAGCTCGATTTTGTTTGCCAACAGAAATTCTTCTCAGCGATGCAGACAGTTCACACAGTACACGCTAAATTTACACGCTAAATTTCAGAAGAAGAATTTGTGTACTGGATTGATACTGGATTGTGGGTATCTTCGGTTTGGATCGCTGCATTAAAAGATAACTTATCAGCCTTTCGTTATCTGGTTTTGAAACTTATGCCGGATCTGTTTTTGTAATTTTCGCTGATTAAATGTGAAACACTGATTTCTTATATCGACCATAACTGCTGATTGTATTGTTATTTGTTTTTGTGGTTTTATCAATAAAAAGTGTTTTATCCCGGACATTGAGATAATTTGTTGACTAAAGTGTATGGCGCACCGCATTCCAGGCAGTCAGAGCTTAATTTCACAGAGGCAATAAATATTTAGCGCGCGACGAAAATCTGCTTCTGAAGCAAATTTGGTTTACTGCGTTATATCCATTGTTACAACGTTACCCGGTCTTACAGGGATCCGTGGCAAGGCGTTTTTGATAACAGACAACTCGTTTTCCTTTAGATTGTTGGGAAAGATGTTGTTGAAGCTAATTGTACTGGCGTGGGTTATCAGTGCTGTGTTGGGCCGAGCAACACCACACCGCCAGACAGCGAACAGCGGAGTGGAGTTGGACCAGACAACAACGAGTGCAGGGAATGCGACGGTTGTCACCATAACAGCATCCGACGGCTTGTCAGCGGGAGCGATCGTCGGGATCGTCATTGGATCAGTTGTTCTTTTTGTTGTATTATGTTTTGGAGTGGGCGTTCTAGGTGCGTGGTTACGCATGTACGGGGAGGAGTTCTATTAACAATGGCCTGGCTAGAGCACCATCTAACCAAGATATTTACGTAAAACATCCATTGCCATCCAGCTATCTAGACAACCAAGCAAAGACGGATGTTGAGTCGATATGGTGAGAATCCGGAGAAAGAATTAGTCGTGATGATTGCCAACGTAAAGCAACTGGAAACACCGGTCGGAACCTGTAGCAGGGAGGCACACTGCAGATTCCTGCACTAAACCGTTCTTATGCTTCTTATCGCCGCGTTGGACTTCGATGCTGATCTACCGGTGAAGCAACTCCTCTTTAGCCCGCTTTTCGCCGGTTTCCTGTTGCATTTTCTGCCCCCCCCCCTACTGTTATCGTGCGGGTTGGGCCGAGCAGCATCGAAATCCAACGAGGCAATGCGACATCTATCGTGGGAACGGTACTGATAGGAGCAAACTTAGATCAGATATTTCCTGTGATTAGACGACGGCATGGGTCAGTTGGTGCTGAATGTTAAGTGATGTGTGGGTCTCTTACTGTAAGAAATGTCCATTATTAAGAATTAACTGTTAATAGATTAACTGCTGATTGTAATTGTTGTAATTTTTGACATGACACTCTGCATTACACGCAAATTATACCAGTTTAATTGTTTTCAAAAGATTTCATTGCACTCACTGAGAGAGTGAGCATGAGTTATAGCAAAACTTTTTTTAGTGCGTTATAACAAGTGTTGTACACAATAACGCACTAAAAAAAGTTTTGTCCCAACTCGGGTAATCTATGCTCACTGATGATGATTTGCAGACGCAGTTTCCGGGTCAGATTAGTTCATTGGCTTTGGGTTCCCGGGTTCTTATTGCGCCTTCCACCCAAAGGGGTTAAATTCGCCTATGTTAGCAGATTACTGTACATTGTTAGGTTGTCTCACTTGTCTGCACTGACTTTGTTGCTAAGGTTGCTGTACTTATAATAAAACTATAATTATGAAATAATGTAGCTTAATTAGTCTTTTCTGAGTACTGTAAGTCTGTAACTAGTACGAACTTACCTACGTTACTTCGCCGGGGAGTAAAGTATAGTACTATTAGTTGATAACAGTAACAACGTTACAACAACAATAATAATAACAACGTTGTAGAGGACAGTATTAGGTAAAGTTGGTAGTCAGATATACCAGAAGTCGATTGGAGCCTGTTAGATTGTTAGCTTGTTATCACAGTACCTATAGAAAAGGGGGCAACTGTCAAGGTCGAATTAAATTAGGTAATATATTACTGCAGATTTTACCTTCCTGGCGCCTTATTTCTTATTACATAAATTGCTATAAGTAGTTTCTATATACGGATCTCGAATTACATTACCTTGCAGCAAGGGAGCCATGATGTCTACATGCAGGCGGAGGACTGGACTCCTGTGGTCAGCATGCGTGTGGTGTTTAATGATGCAGCTGCAAGTGTGTACGGGATGTCTGCCATCACGTCAAAGGTCGCCGTCACTGAGCTGTGAGTAGTGATTAGCAAAACGGAACGCAACCTTTATTCGCATGAGTTTTACAAAAACTTTTACAAAGGTCAAAGTTTGTTCCTTTCTCCATTCTGACCCGCAAGCGCGCGGCTACTTTTTTGCACAGGAAATCCTGACTCCTGGTCTTCATTTTACCACAGATTCATATTTTTACAATTAAGGGCGGACGCCGTGGTAAGAAATACGCTGTTGTTATGCTAATTTCAAATTCGATTTTTGAGTAATTATCTAGTTCGAGTAAAAACTCTTGCCCCTCGCGGACGGCGTTGACAATAATAAGTGGAACGGTGAAAGTAATTACTGATGAAACAAGAATCGCCGATGACGGAAATCGAAACCAATGATAAATTAGTGGGGATGGTGGCTGCAGCTTTACAGGTGACATGCTCTACCCCAGCGCGGAGGCTTAAAAAAAATTGCAAAATGGAGGCACATTGCGAAACTTTTTCCTGCTGAAACAGCCAAATATTCGGCACAATACTCCTTCTCTTTTTAAGCGAGTTCCCTGGCCCCAGCTCAAAAAGCCACCTCGATTCGCCACTGGTACATAAAACCCGTGCCTGCCGTGCGTCTAACCGCTGAACGACCTCGAATGCATTATTATGCCACATAAATTTAGTGTGTGACATAATATTATGAAAATAATAATAAGTATCATTCTAACGCACTGTTCGATCGCAGTCTCACCTATATGAAAAAATGGAGGCCATGCGTCAGATTTCGTTATACAAGTAATGGGGCGTTGAAAGGCGACTGAAGCCGCTAGACTTTCTGAACCCCAGTTTAATTATGGGGTGTGCACGTTTAAGGAAAACGAAATAAATAATTATGGGAAAATTACAACTGGCTCATCTGTTAGTGAAGAAAAGGCTTGCGGAGGCGATGCTGATTAACCGACAGGACGACCGGGTCATACTGCCTGGAATGGTGCCCAGCAATATCGTGACGGACAGCGTGGTGTACCGGCCGCGTTTAGGGGAGGACGCGGCGTTCAACTGCAGTGTTCCCGCCGGCGTCGACTGGCGCCACGTGTCCTGGCTGCACCAGGACCGCACCGTTTTCAGGGATGGACAACCGGTGCCGGTGGAGAACACCACGCGGCAGAAATACAACTTTACTCACGTCAACCTCACCTTGATTTTCGTAGTTCCCAACGTCACCATGCGCTCCGGCGGCTCTGTGCAGTGCATCATCGAGCCTTCGGGCCACGTCTATATGCCCCATCGCCGCGTCCTGCAGCGCTACCAGCTGCTGCCGTTGATCACACACCGCAGCGACGTCTTCGCCGCGCTCGATGCTCCCTACGTGACCGCCACTGAGGGCGAGACAGTCACGGTGCAGTGCAGTATCCGGCTGCCCCTCCCGGAAGGCATTGCAATGAATTTGGACAACCACATGATGTGGGTCCACCGTGGCCGCATCGTTTCTGGTCCCTGGGAGGAGCCTTACGGACTCCCGATGCCCACCGGAGAGAACTTTGAATCGGGCTTCACAGAGTTTACCAACAACCCCGGACAGCTGGTGCATGCCCAGTTGCACTTTCGGAATGTCACTCAGGCCGACGGAGGATACGTGCAGTGCCTGTTACGGCCGCATCAGGGCATACACGAGTGGATAGTTAAGACGACGACACTGCTTATTTTTCCCAGGAATAGCCCGCAATCTTTTCACTGAAAATTTGAGCGTGCCATATCAGGAAAAAAAGTGAGCGCGTTACGTTAGTTTCAACTTTTACCTAACATTAAACGCGTGATAACTGATAACCTTTTTTGCGACCGGTCAAATTCAATGGCTCGGCGAATGAAAGACCCACTAGAATAAATAGTTTGTCTTTTTTTCTTTGAATCGTTGAATTCCACCAGCCGTAAATTAGAAGATCTCTGTAGACGTAGACCGTGCATGAATTACTATGCTGCTTCATCTGCATAATGTAAAAGGCATTCATTAAGGAATTTAAGGGTCAACGCGCGCGTCTCGTCATCAGTTTTTGCTAAGCTTAGTGTAAAAAAATATCTAATTTTTGATAGGGGTTCGAAATAAGGTATTTTTAGTTTTTCAAAACGCTCTGCTCGAAAACTAGGTCCAAAAGGTTTTTATTATGGGAAGAAGTATGGAGCGCTGAAGTATTACATGCAGGTTGTACACTGTACTAATACGATAACCGACGAGAAAACGAGAAAAAATAAAAATATAGACGAATCAATCTACAGCATTATTTATCTAGCGGTTAAATGCCGCACGCGTTTGCTACCTTGGATACTTACTTTTCAGGTACAGTACTCGTACTTAATGTCGCAAAGTGACTGTTAATATTTTTGTCTTCGATAATATACTGTAGGTGCGCCGTATATTTTTTTTATTTTTATGATTTTATATTTTTATGATTCTTGTTATTCTTTTTATTATTCTTGTTCTTTAAAAAATGCAAAGAGGCTACGGGTAGTTTTTGCGCAGTATACGGGAAAACGTACTGTAGCCGTTACTGTTTTAAGTCGGACGTTGTAGGTATTCTGCGGTGCTTACATTGACGCTGCAAATGCCCATACTTCACCGAATACTGATCTACGCAGAATATAGGACGGATTATTACGAATGGATCTCAACAAGAGACACTTAACATCATGTAATAATGTTAGAATGTGGTGCCTACGACAGAAAAAATGAGAATCCTCAAAGGGGCAAAAGACTGAGTGAGCAAACAATGTGCAAGTTCATGCATTCTCTCCGCACGCATGAATAACCGGGAGAAAAGGAAAGGAGCGAGCGGCAACGAGGATTCACGTCAGAGAGGGGAGTGGCTTCGCTCACGAATCGGTCTCGTCGTAGAACTGCTCTGTGATCTCAGTGATAGCTCTGTACTTTACGACAACGACGTTGCACTTCAGTTTCAGCGTGGAACCCAGTCGCTGCTGGGCATGCTGTAGTCCTAAGGGACCAGCTTGAATTTCTGCACGCACTGGGCGCGGCTGGTGACGCGCTTGTTGATCATGCAGCGCCATGCGCTTCTCGACAATCTTCTGCAGGCTGGTCAGTCCGACGCGGCCTCCGTCACCGTGCTCACGTCCTGGCCGATGTTCTCGTGAATCCTGCAAAGATATAGATGCCATAAATGTAATTTGTGACGATGGCGGAATATAGCGATGGCGGGAATACGTAGAAATATTAAAAAACCCATACTATAAAGACAATAAAAAGCCAAAATATTTAAATAAATAAAAAACCAAGGGAATTATTGACTAGTACGGAAACTTCAAGTTCATCAAAATAATGTTACCATTCTTATGCGGGCTTGGTCAGCCTTTCCAGCGGCGCGTTAGTCGCCCAATCTCTGGCTTGTCGATCTTTGTCATCAGTTCCAGTTCCCGAGCCGATTTTTAAAGCGCCGGGCAGGTTTAGTGTGTGGGGAGCTAGAAAAGGCAGTAATTTATTAGGTAATTTACATATATCGCACTATATTGTAAAAGTTAAGCGTGACGTACCGGAGCTTTCCTCATGCCGTAAATGTCGTAGATGGGGATGTTTAAGGAAGGAAGTGCTCCAGCGTCTCCTTTATCACGTACGCGGCACTCGAGCGGGTGAAAATGCAGGGGTCCAAGCCCAGCGCCTGCCGGACTTTCTTGAAGACCATCGCGTGAGCCAGTGTCTAGCCGAGCGGGTTGCCGTGTCCGTTGCCATTTATACTGCGCCTGCATGTACATATGCAAATATGTATATATGTAACAAAACGAATATATAAAGACAAATATATATTCAGTTATATAATTAAAGGTGCGAAAATGGTTTTATATGGGTTTATATGCTACATAATATAACTTTAATAACCTGATAGTACAGTATATACATATAGAAACATAAATAGAGATACGAGTACAATCAGTACATGTAAATAGACTGACTTATATGTGAGCGAACAGTGAAAGGTCAATAAATTTAATTAAATTTACCAATTTAAATTTAATTTCTTTTTCAATACTGTACAGTTAAGGTCAGAAGTTTCCTTTATGGGAACATACTTTTATTTACTGTAAACAACGCATAATATTATATTGTGTGCAGTATATGCGCTAAAGTAAGCAACCAAAATGTCTCGTCGTGAAGAAGCGATCTGCTTTTTAAATTATCGTGAACTAATAATGAGGCGAGACAATCTCATGGCGAGTTGCCATGGGCAACATGGAAATCTCGTGGTACCATACTTTACACAAAACTTAAGCATAGTCAGGATACTTAAGTATTTTATATAAAATTTTATATGTACTGTTTGCTGCCTGCATGTAAGTACGCTGCGCGCCGGTTTACTACTTAGCGCAATGGCGCATTTTCGTAGTATGTATACTTCTACGTAAACACGGGTATATTGACATTTAATTGTTATTATTATATATACAATCCTAACTCCGCCGTTTCTTTTTCTCCCTTTTCCTCCAACACTGTCCGGCGCAGAATTTCGTGCGATAGCTTAAAAAACGGCTAAAATCCTGTAGTTTGTCCCTACAACTTTAGTTTTTCGATCTTCTTTTCCTTCGAATAACGAAAAATGACCAAAACGAATTTCGCTGGTTGGCTTATCATAAAGTAATTATTAGTGGATTGGCGGAAATGCGTATATTTTCGAACGGAAACTGCTGACACAGCGTGGCAGACTGGGACATAAAAACTGCAGTACATCAGTAATCAGTAAAATTTAATGCTCCTGTTTGTCGAAATTTTGTAACTGGCAGAGCGATAGTGCAATATGATTTCTTTGTCGGAAAGACGAAAGGGCGACAGTATAGCGCAATTAAATGTACGGCAACAGGTTACGTGTAACCGCAAACATCATTACTGCGTATCAGGTTTTGGAAGAAAGTTACCTCGAAGTTCCAGACACCAAATTTCATGAAATTAGTTTGCGTAATTTTCCTGCCTATTTGTACAACAGCTTCGGTTTTTGCACGTGACATCCTTATTTTTTAAAAATTCGCCGTATGCTAGTGATTATTAGTAGAGGAAGAATTATTTGTTGAGTGAGTTACTAGTATTATTGACTATTAATTACTCTACTGATTGATCGAAGAGTGGTGTTTCGGTGCTCTTCCATTTCTTCATGAAGTCATTTCAGCAAATTAAATAAATTTCATTATGCGGACATTCACTCGCGGCATCAAGCTGGACTTTCGCCATACCATTGTTGCTTTTATGGTTCCGTAAAGGCGTAAACTAAATAATAGTTCTATCGATAATTTTATTAACTAATTCTTTTAACAGAAATGTTTTTCCTTTAATACAAAACAAAGCTCTTCACTCAGTTTTGAAAACAAAAAGTAATACTTAAAAATAAGGAATAATATATCTACTATTAGAAATAAACAAACTATAATAATAATGAATAGTAATGCTGATAATAATAAAAATCAGTATTTGTAATAACTGCCTCGAAAGCCCATTGCTCAGCTAACACGCGTGATCACCAAATGCAAAAAACATGTCAAATTAAAAACATTTTAGCAAGTGGAGGCATTTACTCATTGTTACAGACGGAAATTTCGGCATTCGTTGGCTTTCTGAAATAAAGTTAATTCGGCAAGAGAAAGCTTAGCATGCGGACTGAGCAGCAGTAACTCATGTTTCAGGCGGGAATTTTTGCATTCTACGAGTAGTGGTTTTTTAAAATAAAATCAATTCGGCAAGAGAAATTTTAGCATGCGGACACAGCAGCACAGAATTTTGGCCGGTTGAGCAGAGTTAAGGATTTTCGCCTGCTAGAAAAAGGGGGAGGGATTTTCGAAGGTAAAGCACGGGAGCAGGGATTTTCGCCGGTCAAGCACAGGGGCAGGGATTTTTGCCGGTTAGAAAGAGGGGTAGAGGTTTTCCCGGGTAAAACAGAGGGGTAGGGGTTTTCGCCGATCAGACACAAGGGTAAAGATTTTCGCCAGATAGACAGAGGGGTATGAGTTTCCGCCGGTACCGGCGGAAACTCATACCCCTCTTTTTCCGGTTAGACAAAGGGACAGGGATTTTCGCCGGTTAGACAGAGAGACAGGGATTTTTGCCGGTTAGACAGAGAGGTAGTAGTTCATCATATTACAGTAAAGTTTGCTAATTAATAAATCTTTAATCATTAATAACAATTATAATAATAAACCAACAATCCAAATTCAGTTCTACATTTTCCCAACCGAGGCCGGAGGCCGAGGTTGGGCTAAAATCCTGTAGTTTGTCCTAAAAATAAACGGCTAAAATCCTGTAGTTTGTCCCTATAACTTTAGTTTTTCGACCTTCTTTTCCTTCGAATTACGAAACACGACCAAAACGAATTTTGCTGATTGGCTTATCATAAAGTAATTATTAGTGGATTGGCGGAAATGCACATATTTCGAGCGGAAACTGCTGACACAGCGTGGCAAACTGAGACATAAAAACTACGGTACATCAGTAATCAGTAAAACTTAATACTCCTGTTTGTCGATATTTTGTAACTGGCAGAGCGATAGTACTCGTACATTATCATTTCTTTGGCGGAAAGAGGAAAGGGCAACAGTATAACGCGATTAACTGTAAGGCAACGGGTAACTTACGTATAATCGGAAACATCATTGCTGCGTCTTAGATTTTGGTAGAAAGTTACTTTGAAGTTCCAGACACCAAATTTCATGAAATTAATTGCGTATTTTTTCTGCTTATATGCACAGTGACTTCGGTTTTCGCACGTGACATTTTTATTTTTAACTATTCGCGGTATGCTAGTGATTATTAGTGGAGGAAGAATTATTTCTTGAGTGCATTACTATTATTATGGATTATTAATTAGATAATTAATTACTCTACTGATTATTATAAGAGCGGTGTTTTCACTGTTTTGGTGCTCTTCCATTTCCCCATAAATTCATTTTAGCGCAAGAAATAAATTTCATTATGCGGACATTCACTCGCTGCATCAGGCTGGACTTTCGCCATACCATTGTTGCTTATACGGTTCCGTAAACTAAATAATAGTTTTATCGATAATTTAATAACCAATACTGTTAACAGAAATATTATTCCTAAAACAAAAAATAAAGTTCTGCACTCAGTTTTGAAAAGAAAAAAGTAACATCTAAACAAAGGAATAATAAATATTACTATCAGAAATAAACAAATAACAATTATGAATAATAATACTGATAATAATAAAATCAGTCATCATAATAATTGGCTGGAAAACCGATTGCGCAGTTGACAAACGTGATCACCAAATAATAAACCATGTCAAATTAAAAAAATTTTAGTAAACGGACGCATTTACTGATTGTTTCAGGTGGAAATTTCGGCATTCGGATGGTTTTAAAATAATGTCAATTCGGCAAGACAGATTTTAGCATGCGGACATAAGAGCACAGAATTGAGGCCGGTTAAACACGGAGTTAGGGATTTTCGCCGGTCAGACAGGGGTAAGTGGTTCTCCCCGGTGAGACAGAGGGGTAGAGATTTTCGCCGGTCAGACAAAGGGGCATGGATTTTCGCCGGTTAGACAGAGGCGTAAGGGTTTTCGCCGGCAGACACAGGGGTAAGGATTTTCGCCAGACACACAGAGGGATAAGAATTTCCTACGGTCAAACAAAGAGGCAGGGATTTTCGCCGCTTAGGCAGAGAGGTAGGGTTTTTCGCCGGTCAGACCAAAAGGTAAGGATTTTCGCCGGATAGACGGAGGGGGAGGAGTAGGGGTTTTCGGCGGTTAGACAGAGGGATAGCGATTTGCGCTGGTTAGACAAAGGGACAGGTATTTTCGCCGGTTAGACAGAACGGTAGGAATTTCGTCCGGTTAGACAGAGGGGTACGGATTTTTGCCGGTCAGACAAAAGGGCAGGGTTTTTCGCCGGTCAGACCAAAGGGTAAGGATTTTCGCCGGATAGACAAAAGGAGTATGAAATACCGCCGGTCAGACAAAAGGGAAGGGTATTTCGCCGGTTAGACAAAGGGGTAGGAATTTCCTCCGGTTAGACTGAGGGTAGGGATTTTCGCCGGTCAGACACAAGGGTAAGGATTTTCGCCGGATATACAGAAGAGTAGTAGTTCGTCATATGACAGACTTTACAGTAAAGTTTGCTAATCAATAATTCCATAATCATTACATATTAACAATTATAGAATAAAACAATCAAAATTCAGTCCTACATTTTCCCGACCGACGCCGGAGGCCGAGGTTGGGCTTGTATGCATACAGGGCACCGAAATGTAAACGCACAGTCGCACACCGTCACCGGGATCATTCTTAAGATATAACGCATACTGTACAGACGCACACCGCGTGGCAAGTTTACCTCGAGGCAGGTAATATATTTTAGTATTTTTATTATAACTAATTTAAAGTCGAAAATGTTGAAAAAATTCTGCCGGCGTTTTGACCCCACAAAAATTCTGCCGGCAGGAAATTCGGCCGGCAGTTTGACCATAGAGAGAGTAAACATACGCCGCTTCGCTTAGTTGAGCACCCAATCAATATCAGGAGGCCAAAGGTCCTTTTATTATCCGGAGGCACTGCCGCAGATGAACCTGATTTGCGTCTGATTTGAGCCTGATTTAAGTCTATTAAATCTGATTTGAGTCTGTTTTTACGATAAGCACGGAACCCGACCTTATGTTACGCTCACCTTACAATAGTAGTAAAAATCTGCTATAAATAACTTTCTTGGTTCGCCATAAAAGCCTACTTCCAAGATATAAAAAAATTCTGAAATTTTATTCTCTGTTCCAAAATATTGACGGGAAGTTTCGTTAAGGAGACATAGAAAAACGAAGTGTTAGATAAGTGGTAGTCGCTTGGATCATCTAGCCAGAGTACTGCATGTAGGCGCGTACGCGAGGTGGCTGCCGCGGACCAGTTTGCTTCAACAGCACACTCAGCCATGCACACTCAAGCAAACTTCACAGTAAACAGATTCCATAACAATGTTTTGCCAATATTATTACGTAATTAAACCTTCCATTTTCTTCGCAGTGCCGCTACGATGCGGCGTCATTTTACGTGTTTTTATTTATTTTACAATTTCATACTCGTGCGATCGAAAATGTTCAGTTTGTGAACAGCTTATCAGTCATGATCGTATGACTGTCGTATGCCGAACAGAAAATTCAGTTATTACAGTACAGCGAGTGTCTAAAAATTTTATTTTGCAGTTTTAATAGCACAGAGTTCTTTATTTTTCGTGATTCCGTTAAGCAATTTTACGAAAAAACAATACCGGTTAATTAATTATTCACAAAATGAATAATGATACCGTCAGCATAAATACATAATAATTATACTTACATTTGCTATTAGATGCCGTTTTCTATACAGACGCGCGGTTCAGTATTTCAGAGTGATTGAAATCGAACTTTTGTGCGAATCGCGCGCAATATGAGGTTATCTGATCCTTAATTAAAATGTTATCAATTGCAAGATTTGTGTCTCTTAATAATTTTATCGCGTAATTCTTTTCAAAATAATTTCACGATATGCTGCGTACTATAGGTTTTACTATATGTATACAGTATAGGTTTCTCAGGTTTTACTATAATAGGTATTTGAATCATATTTTGTCATTCCTATAATGAAAACTTTTTCTAATTCCGAAGGTTTTATTTATGAACCCCGAACCCATGCATCTGGTGAATGTGAACACCTCAGCACCTAGCACCGATCACCCAACATCCTGCCAAAGTTACTGACTAATATCATCCGTTGGACAAGATTTCCAAACTTGTGAACAAACCTGGATAAATAAATTCTGTAAACAATTTAGAAAGAGAACACACCATTTAGTAATATTATTATATCAGTATACTAATAATACTGTACTTATTATTGTCTGTTGATATAGGTGAGAACAAGATGAGCCTGTCATTGAGCCATAATCATAATATACAATAGCTTCGTCTTGCCGCTGATTCACCCGTGATTTGACTCATTCTGCACGATTCGAATCGGGGCAAAGAATAATTATAAAAGACATCATGTTTCTTGTTTTCTTTTACAGGAAAAACTGCATCTCTTAGTGGTTTGCATCGCTATTACACACCAGCAGAACGATAAGTACGTTGATGCTGTTTTTATTTCACAAAGCATGAGTACATTCGAGAGTCAAAAACGGTCGTTATCACACCAAAAACAATTCATTTAGCGCAGCTAGCCCTACCATGGTTCCGAGTACGGAAGCGGCGTTGCCCCGTTGGATCTCCAGAGATAGGCGTTGACGAAAAAACTCGTGAGATCGGGGGTTCGCCGGTATGATCTGCGAGCCGTTTACCAATTTCTTTTACTTTACTGATGGACGATTTCCCCCATGGACCATGCGTTTCAAAGGCTAATGCCGCAAAGTCGTACCGCCCTTCGAAATAGGCCTAGACTCCAACTCTGACTCTGACTCTGATTCTGACCACTCAAACTCTGACTCTGACTACTCAAAGTCTGACTCTGACCGCTCAAAGTCTGACTCTGACTCTGAAGATTTCTTAGGTTTCTTAATAGGTTTCTTAGGTTTCTTAGGTTTCTTAGGTTTCTTAGGTTTCTTAGGTTTCTTAGGTTTCTTAGGTTTCTTAGGTTTCTTAGGTTTCTTAGGTTTCTTAGGTTTCTTAGTTTTCTTAGTTTTCTTAGGTTTCTTAGGTTTCTTAGGTTTCTTAGGTTTCTTAGGTTATTCAGTCAGAGTCAGAGTTTGGTCAGTCAGAGTCAGACTTTGAGTAGTCAGAGTCAGAGTTTGAGCAGTCAGAGTCTGAGTCAGAGTCAGAGCTTGAGCGCGGGCCTTCGAAATACGAATACAGTTGGCGTTTCCTACTTTCCGCTTGTTCGGCAGCAGATCCCGCGGTTACCGACGTGGATTTTAGGTGGGATTTGGCTACCGTGTCCACACAGGTCACATCCCATGCTAAACACAAGCCGTGTTTCCAAGCGAACGTGGTGCATCCATCAGGGCGACGTTCTGACGTGTGGGATGTTCCGCGAGGCTCCAGCTTGGCAGGAATACCGGCGGACACCAGTGCTCTGCAAACGATGCTATTTAGACCACCATGGCGTGGGTGTCTTCCGGCGGAGAAAGGGCACGATAGGCCGTGGTGGCCATATTTATCAACAGGCATGTGGCACTTCGCACAGTTGTGTGGCTCGCAAATAGTTACACCCAATCTCAGTCCAACTGAAATCTTAATGGTGTCGTCATCTAAAAAATTGCCGATGTGCGCCGAGGGCAACGCATTTAGCCATAAGCCGGCTTCTGGAGTCGACTGGGACAGCAGTCTAGCTCTATTCACTTCATCGTCGCGGAAAACGTCGAGAAGCGTAGATAGCGATGCGTTGCAGAGCGGTAAATCCCAGGTACGTTGTGATTTACGAAAATTAGACTCCGGTAGTTCGGTGAGGCGCGCGCTATAATTCCACAATGCTTGGCGCGTCGTTGATGCTTGGCGCGTCGCTGAGCACATGGACTTCGACCTGAAGGCTGAAGGGCGGATAGTACCAGTTTCCACGTCTCAATTTGGCTCAGAACAACCTTCGCTTCAACACAAAGACGCCATGCTCTATGCCGGTTTATCGCTCTTGCAGTCTTGTATTCCGCCTTTAGTGTACCACTCAAATGCATGGACTATACGGCCAAGGTCAAAAGGAGGGAGGAATTTCTGCGTGGTCAAAAAGAGGGAGGAATTTTTGACGAGAGGGAGGGAGGAATTTTGATATGGTCAAAAAGAGGGAGGAATTTTTTCGAAATTCAAACGAAATAGTTGAGGGACCTCGAACCCAGGTCTCCGAGGTCGCCACCAAGATATTCTCATTATATACACAGTTTAAAGGGCTGAGTCCAACTGAAGTAGTCCGGGACCTCGAACCCGGGTCCCCGAGCGAAGCGAGCCCGCGTTTGTAATTCAAGACATGTCGAGGGCTCGATGAAACGGAAGCACTAGTGACCTTTAGGTCGCGACGTGACCTTTGGGTCTCCTCAGATTTTCATGGTGATTCCTATACAGTTCGACATGCTGAGTCGAATTAAAGTACTGGAGGACCATCGAAACCGGATCCCAGATGTCGCCACCACGGTATGCAACATATATGCACTGTTTGCTTTTCGGAGTCGAACTGAAGTGCTCCGAGACCTCGGACCGCGTCCCTCGAATCTGCAATGTTTTAACACCTTTCTGAATATATTTTTGATTATTCTAAAATTAAGTCTTCTGATATTTCTGTACATATCTCCAATTATTTCTAAATATTTCTCAATTTTTTAAAAACACATTAAATTTTTCGTCACCGGATGTCCAGATTTCGGGTTACAGTATCCTAAAACTGAACTTCCACTTGTAAATACTTTGCATGTCATTATCTGGAAACCTCAATTTTTAAGCACCAAAATGCTTTAAACCAAAATACATAATCATGCAAAAATATTTACTCCTTAAAACTTCGCTTTTTTTATTTTTGTTAGATAAAATAAGTTGTTTAAAATGTTAAGAAACCTAAATAACTATTAACTTAACAGTTATATTGATAACTGAATCTTCGAACACCAGAACATCAAGGTCGGTGCATATACAACAACCAAAACAGCTAAAATTGAAGACATCTGAATAGTTCAATATAGATGCCAAAATACCTTAGATGTGTAGAGTTGTTAATGTCAAAAAGCCTAATTTTGAAGTAAATAATAGGCCAAATCTCGATTTACCAATACATACTATCATCTTCAAATCCATAGGTAGGCTCAATATCTTAAATTAAATCTAAGTAGCTACCAGAAATCCACTTCAGCACTGGTCGGGAACAGTAGCCAAAACTCAGAACGAATATTATCTGAGGCGTTAATTTGGTTCTCAAAAACTGCGCAAAAACACTGATATATCAGTTCCAAGGAATTTATTTTCCTATAGATTTCGTATACATCCATGCGCACAGAATGAGTTGTATAATGATGAGAGGCGATTCGCAACAGAACTTAACTGCCAGTGTTAAGTGCTGAATGGGATGAAACTCAGTCGAACTGAAATAAATAAAAATCTTAAAATTTTCTGGCTGCTTAATTAATTTTTATTTTAAAAATCTGAAATTTTAAAGTGTTTCGTGAATTTTGAAGCGGAAATTAAATTATTTTTCTTAACCTTTTAACTACTGCCCAAATGAAAATCATTTTAACAAAAATTCTGTTTAAAAAAATTTTATTTTCACGTTCAGTTCAAATTTAAATTTAAACTTTCGAGCGGATTCCTAAATTTTTCTGGTTTGTTTAATATCAGTTATTTTAAAAGCACTATTAAGTTTTTTTTAAAACAGAAACTAAAATTAATTGTATATTATTTCTTGGATAATTCTGTGTCTGAGTTATTCATGAGTAAACCACTATAGTCAAATTAAATTGGAAACACGCGATACTGGAAAGAGAGCACGATGTATGCAAAACTCCGACAACAAAACTTTGATGATGCAGCATGAGATGTAAAATGAGATGCTAATCGTTTTTCCATAGTGCTTTAAAATTATTTTAAAAAAACCGTGGAAAATTACAGGCCGTCCGTACCGCACGTACCGCAACTCCGAGCGCGACGAGTTTTTTGGGCGCAACAACCGGTCGGTGGGATTTCACGCGGAAGTGACGGCACCAAAATTTTGGTATTTTTTCCAGGCTTAAAAATAATTTTTAAGATTTTTAAAATGTGTTTTTTTAAGAACAAAAAGATGCTAGATAAGTTGCTTGGTATTAAAACGGTTTACGTACTTATGCGCATTTACATGTACGATTTTAACAAGGTGGTTTATAATGAGAAATTAGATCTACTAGCTGACTCTGCAGCTTCAGCGCTTACGTGTTAATTCTAAATTTATTCGTTGCCTTATATATTTTCAATCACAAAACCGCTGCTCGCTTGCCCTAAAAGCGTATGAGACGTTATGAGATTATACACTAGGAGATACTACATATTATTAGAGATTTCAATGAGTTTTAAAACAAACCGGCACATCAGAAAGTCTCATTATGAAACATTGTGTCATGTGTCATTGTGTTACAATGTGTCAAGTTGTCAACCGCAGATAAAGGAAATTGCTGTTAATTTGCTTCCAAAAATCAGGGTTTCAAATATTTAATGCCATTTTAGCAAGATTTAATTTTTGCAGTGCACTTTTAGAATCCAAACAGTGACAAAATATATAAAAATAAAATTGAATTTATGATTCAAAGCTTGCGGTAACCATTAAGAAAATTTGATCTGAAATGGGTTTTCGAATTTATCTCTACAGTAGCATTGCACAAGTAATCTGATTAGAACATAATCAGCAAGGACAACAACGTATAAGTTCTAGTTAAATATAATTCGGCATGCTATGTTTTTTGATACTTAAAAGTTTATGTATTTTGAAGTGAATGCCAATTTCAGAAACCCTGTTTTTGTTAACCAGTTTATATTTACAGTATTTTATTTTTCAGATATACTCAAAACACTGTGATCAGAATTTTTACGTTTACGTTTTACGCAATACAGAATGTAGAGCTACACAGAAATAAAAATATTGAAAAATGTGTTATATAATTAAAAACGTAATTAGAATATTTAAAATATATTCACAAATGTGTCAAGAAATAATTAGATATATCTGAACTTATCACAAAATACGAATAAGTACATTCAGTAGTATAGTAGTATATACAGAAATATATTTCAAAATTCAAAACTATATTTTAAAAAAATGCAGAAATAGAATAAACGATATTCATAAAAATAATGAGAAATAGTGAAAACAATATTGAGAAATATAACTAATATTGAGGTCGGGTTCGAGGTCGCGGATTCGAGGTCGCGGAGTACTTCAGTTGGACTCAGCCCTTCAAACTGTGTGTATAATGAGAATATCTTAGTGGCGACCTCGGAGACCTGGGTTCGAGGTCCCTTAGTACTTGATTTGAATTTCGAAAACATTCCTCCCTCTTTTTGACCATATTAAAATTCCTCCCTCCCTCTCGTCAAAAATTCCTCTCTCTTTTTGACCACGCAGAAATTCCTCCCTCTCAAAATTCCTCCCTCTTTTTGACCCTGGCCGACTATAGGCCACTATACTGTATACTAGTTGCCGATGGTAATTTTTTATTATCCGCTGGGAAAGCAAACCCCATTTACCATGACTGTTATATGTTTGTCTTAACAGAATTCTGGAATACGATGACATATTTTTGTGCTTAGAAGCACCCTGGAATACGATTGAATTGCTTCAGGTGAGGAAAGTTGATTTTTATTTAAAGAAGTTTTCAGAAGTTTTACAACATCGTAGTGTGCTGTGATAGGCTTTTTCGTATGTACACTGTACAGACACTTACAAAGGTGCATGCTATATTTTGAAATATAAAAATAACTAACAAGTAACCATCGTATTTACCGTCAGAATTGGCACATCGGCCGAACTGCGCAAGCTTCAAAAAGTAATAATTATTGAAGAAGATGAATTCAGTCAACTTAATAATTTTTGTTTGTGCTGTAAGCGTAGGTTTTTATGATAAAAATTCTTCGGTTGCTGTCTCCTGAGCCGAGCAGAGCCATACAGATGCACAATTTCGTTCAGCTCGTTCACACCTCATTGCTTTTGTAACCATGACAGAAATTTTCTAACAATGTATTAAAGCAAAACAAGTCTGTCGCGATTCGAGATTGATTCTACCGGTTCCATGTTACTTTATCAAGAAGCTGCAGAACGCTTTCGTGCTGTGCTTGTAAGTCACTGATTACCGTATTTTTCGAAATAAAAGCCTCCTCCAGAATTGTAGCCTCCTCTACCATATAAGCCTCCCCTCCCCCTGATTTTACAATACTCCCCCCTTTGTTTTTTCAAAATACTCCACCATATAAGCCTCCCCCTGGGAATCGATGAAAATTTAAAAGCCCCGGGCTTCTAATCCGAAAAATACGGTAGCTGCAAAAATATGTTGACCCGTCATCAAAAATATTTTGATAAACGCCTTAGTGATTTCACAGGGTTAGGCATATACCTCATAAACATAAACATAAGGCTTTTTCGCATAAACATAAAGCTGCGCTGCATAAACATAAAGCTTAAACTCATAATGTCTTTAATACATAATACGTAAACATAAACCTTAAAACACATACTATTATACGTAATTTTTGTTACTTACTAGAATGGTTACCATGGCAGACAAACCTCAAACACCTGCGTGTCTTTTTTCTCGGAAATAGGAATCATACCAAAAAACGTTAACGCCGTCCGGCGTTCCTTGTGAATAAGGTCTGGCATGGGGCAGGTAAGAACTACAGTATATTCGTCAGTCAGGTTGAATTTAACATCCACATCCACACATACCGATCCTTGACCAAACGCATACTTTGCAAACAAATCCAGCTGATATTTCTGACAAATAAAATGAACTTGTCTTTTGACAAGCCTGGCTTCAGATTTTCCGCCGTCCAGACACTGGTAAAAGTGTAACTCTACCGCTTTACAGTCCAAAATATACTGTAACTTATCGCGACCAAAATGTTGCCGTTTAATGCTTTGCTTTGCATTTTTGACTTGACGGACGGACGAAATCTGGAACGATGGATTTATTTGAATTATTTCAGCCGGAGTCTCTTTAATTACTTCTTGCAGCGCATGGCGCGGTGCGGTCGATGGTCCAAGCAACTTCGGGTCAAACTTCGAAGCAAGTTCTTTTTTGAAATATTCTCCAAGCTTTTCCTCCCGATATTTGCTGGGGTCAAACGATTTTGGCGTCACTCCTTTCGACCAATAGTAACGCACAACCGCAATGTAGCAGACTGTAAAATCCATACGTCTGGAGTTATTGCGTTCCACAATAAAACTGACAGTTTTTCGGAAGCCTTCGCAGCTGTGATCATAGTAGACCACAAAGACATGAAACGTTTGATTTTTTCGCTTAAACTGACACCAAGTACGGGTTCGCTGTGACCACGTTCGGTTTCCGTCGCGCTTCAGTAAATCTAAAACCTTTTTCACCTTTTCGACCACTCCTTCTTTAATTTTCACGGCAAAGAATCCACTTCCTTGATATTCCTTGGGCAAAGAGTTATTCACGACCTTGTCCACATTTGGCTCACTCAAGATCAGAGAATGAGTTTCCGCCAGTCTTTCAGACTTCGGCCTTTGGAACACCCGATATGACTTCCTAAAACAAAAAAAGCATTTAGGTTTAATTGGAAATAAACTCCGCTCTTCGTTCAGCTCCAGTTTATTTTAAATGTATGAGATAGTTACTGTGTTGCAATAAAATTATATAAAACTAACAAAGTATCCTGGCTGTATCGCAATAACAATAAGTATATAAAAAATGCTGGAGCTAAAAACCTAATTACATTATGTAAATTCGTAATGCCATTACCGGTACACTAACTGGATAACTTACGTTTTCCAAATTCTTCCGACAGCCGTATCCCCGGTTTCCGGCTTTAAGCGCTCTCTGGCACCCCGGGCAAAGAGAATAAGCGGCTCCGGATCCAGCCAAACTACCTCGCCTTCCGAATGGCTGTCGCCGTTCGTAGATCCGTTAACAGAAAGTGCTTCTTCGTCAACAACAATTTCCTCGTCTTGAGCAACTTGGTGGACTGCAGATTCATCCATAGAGCCACTGCTTGTTCTAATGAATACAAATACGTTGCAAACAGCTACATACTCTCAAAAAAGAATAGAAGAAAATCTTTTGCTGTACCGTTTTTGCTTTGACGGTGGAGATTCACTATCCGATTCCACTTCGCTGTCGGACGTCATGGCAAACCAAATTAAAAATTACCCAGTTGAAAATCTCAAATTTCAGATATCACAGATGAAAATTGTTTTAGTCATTCAGACACGCGACCGAATCAATGTAGAACCAAATTGGATAGACAAGAAACGGTACTTCATGTACCGCATTGTTCCACCCGGATTTGCTTGTGCAGTCGATTGAATCAAAGCAAACTTATACCTAGCATCCGGATTATGTTTATGCGGTACATGCTTTATGTATCACGGCTTTATGTTTATGCAGCGCAGCTTTATTTTTATGTTTATGTTTATGCGAAAAAGCCTTATGTTTATGTTTATGTTTATGAGGTATATACCTAACCATTTCACAGACGGTCACTTACATTACCATTAATACAAGTATGCCGTTTTGTTTACGGTTAGCAAAATTAGGAGATCATGCGGCCAACAGAAGTACGTCCGTAGTCTGTACTTGTACTCTATCTGTCAAGTGTCAACTAATAAAAACAGTTTTCTGCAGTTTTTGCTGTTACACAGTTACAGTGGGCAACCGCTTTCGGCTTTAGACATATTGTTGCCTGCATCATCAATGTATAACGTAAATATGAGCAGACTTGTAGGCGAAATTAAGTAACTTCAATAATGTGGCGCATATTCCGCCAGACCCGTGCTAAAAAAATCTGGGCTGCACGATCAACATGATACAGCCTTACATCTTGCCCTTTAATTTCCGCTGCAAAGAAATTCGAAATTATTTTTACTATTTTTTATGGAATTTCTAGCAGGTTTTGCGGCGAGATAGCTCGCTGGCTTCGCGCTTCGCGCGATAGTTGGCATCTGGTGTGTTGTTCAAAGCGGCGCCACGCAAATTGAGCTGGTTAAATTAAGTACGTTTAAAATTTTTCTAGCGGTTTTTACAGCAGAATACTTCACCCTCTTTTGCGTTCCTGGGTTTTCAGTGCCGCTCCCGCCCAAGCGAGATAAATTCTTAGGTGACCGTTTCTGAAGTTAATGTGAAATTTTTCTGTGAACTTTGAGAAAATTAACGTAAAAGATGGGATAATAGTCTTAATAATTACTACAAATTTGAATCAGCATTCCGTTGTTTTGTTTAATTTTTTGTTTTGTCTTATGTGCTTTATTTTTTTTATTCGTGATACGAAAGCGGAGCAGCGCCATGCAGCAGCATTACCGGAAAGTGAAAGTAACTAGCTGTAGATACTCGTACATCAGGAAATGAGTTGCTTTGTAAACGTTTTATGCACAATGAACTACGCGTTAGAACTGCCTTTCCTTTACAAGTTTAGTCTTTGTGCACCTATTGGTCATGTCTGCTAGTTGAATTACATTTGGTTTTCCTACCTGTTGGTACTTCTCACTACCTCCTTACTTGGCATCGTCTGTACAGTCTGAATAATATTGGCCATGGCATACTCGCCCAACTGACCAAATTTTTAATTTTGCGATTTTGACAACACGATTTCAACGTCTTGTTAAATCGATTAATTTTAATAATGAATGCAGAATTTCACTCGGATAATGTAACTGTCGCGTAAATTTTTCAGGTTTCATAAAGAAAATGGGGTAGCCGATGAGGGTAGAAGTATTTATACGGCATTCTCGTACATTGATGCATGATAAGTACAGTATTGTTGACTCGAATCTTTTCGCTGACTGCAGTTATAATGTTAAATGCAGTCTGCATTTATAAAAGTATAATGATGCTAAAACGGACAAGAGTTTCTAATTTGCGGCTAAAGACAAGCTAACGTAACGTGCCCCAGTTTGTGCCTGTAATAGCACCGATGAACGCACACAACGAAACCATTGGTGTTATGTTTAGTTCAAAAAGATTAAAATTAGTAGAAACTACTCGTAAAAATATCGTTTCTTGCATAATCCAATCATGCACGCCCTCATGTGGCCGGAAAAAGAACTGTACTGGTCCACTATCGGCCATCGTAATCGGATGAAAGTTGAGTGCATAGCGCAGCACGTTTCCGCGTCTGTTGGGGGGGTTGCATGTAGTCTGAATCGACAATCGGTGTGTTGAGTGTGGTCGTGGGCACCCAGTACGGCGCCTCCGATGGTGCTCTGACAATTCTACCTTTATGTCGCCAGATCAAGTGGTTAGGCATGTTCGTGACAATACCAACTGGCAAGGGTAAGCAGATGTCACAGAAAACTGTTACGTTCTCGCCCGGGGTGGCGGTTATGATGGTAGAATTCGGCGCAGCAAAGACGTCACTACGGTGCGTGATTTGCGGTAATAACATAAAGCTTTGGATGACATGACGGCGAGGCTTATAGTCGGGGTACAGCAAGTCAATGACGCATTGCACTAGACCACTGTCTTCCACGCTGACTTTTTTGAGTTGAAAGACCATAATGTCCTGTAAATGCTGGAAGAAGTACTTTTCTAAGAGGTCGTCCCTTTCCTGGCCTGGTAGAATGGCGCTAATGGCGTCGCGGCCTTGGTGCAGCCAGGTCATGGCTCGCCAGTCTCCACCGGGGGGAACATTGCAGCTAAATGATACACTACGCCCTAGTCGAGGGCGGTAGATCATACTCTTTATCACGGTATAGCTCGGGGGCAGTGTCGTTAATACGATGCGGTCGTCGTCTCGGTTGTACTGTATGGACTCGTCCAGCAGGTTATTAACTACCAAGTAAGCCAATTTTATACGTCATATACAAGGGTGCCGGGCCCAGCTGCGACAGTTGCGTAAAACAAATTAAAAAACGTTCACATACATTTTATATTCACTTTAGCATTTTTTAGATTCAGCAGTGTAAAAACGTGACGTTCGTTGCGGACATGCTAACGTGCACGCAGTACATCTTTATCTTGTCTAGTACACACATAATTATCTGCTCTTGAAAGACAAAATTCAGCGTCAATACACGAAAATATTGTCGACAAGAAAATTATTTATGTCGGAAATAGGCAATTATGTCGGAATGCGTAATTCGCGCAACTAACTGAAACAGGAAGCTTAAATGATAATCGTTTAAAGCTGCATTCATTATTGCCACCCCCCTGTTGATTAATGTGTTCGTACTTTTACTGTTTACATATTCACTGGGAAAATTTTCTCTTTAAAATCTTACGTCTTAATAAGTTTTGTTAGGCCAGTAGCCTATACTACTGTAGAGCGGCACTGGTTAGGCATCACTTCGTTCGTTAAACAGCAGCACTTCTGTACCGCGGTACTTTTACGTTACTCGCGTAGTACGTCATGACACTCATTGTCAGTCTTCAGTACGCATGGTAATTAATTGTTAACAATAACACAACGCTTAAAACATGATTGATAAGAAGAGCGCCGCGACGGTTTCCAGAAAAGATTTTTTGACTGCACCATGTATAGTTTGCTGTTTAAGTACAGCAACATCTTTCTGAATTCCGGTCTTTATCTTTAAGTGAAATTATTCAAGTTCATCAGAATGTATAATGCTTTTATTTTATTTACCAATTTTGTTTAGCAAAAACTAATAATTGTTTGCTGAATTAGCGAGGCGAGCTTTAGACAGACCACGAAATGCGATGCGCTTTCATAATTTTATGATCTTATTCATGAACAATTAATAATTAGTGATTGGCTTGCTCGCCATAATACACATGCATTCTTTTTGGGTAACACGCCTTTAATTCAGATTGACGGTACATGTACTGAAATCACAATTTTCCATGCACGGTTAAACAATTTTAGCTTTTCAGAGTGATAAAGAACCTGTGTCATTAGCTAAATGGATGCCAGCGCCGATCAACATGGTTGTTTCGATCGATTGAAAACTGTTGCGCGGCTCAAGCAATAATAATCGTACCAACACCTGAATGATTATTCTAATGATTAAACTCATTAAAATGCACCAACACCTCATTTATTCTACCTAGTGATCAAATAAATTCTTAACCTCCAAGCAGCACTATTTCACGTACTTGAAGGCTAAGCAGCACACGCAGGTCACTAAAAATAAATTAGTACTTATTCGCAAATTATTAATTTGAAAAAACACTATTTAACTCGAAAATCGTGCATATAATATAATGTATTTGCATCCGTGACCAAACACAAATTTATAAACGAATGGTATTTAATACCACGTATGGTACGATAATTAATGGTATTTCCCGATTAACAAAACACATATTTTTCGTTTAAATAGTACATTTTTGTACAAATCATGCAAACACATAAAATTGGCGATGAGTGTTCAAATTTGTGCCTTGCAGGACAAAAAACGTGCCGATTTAAGCTAGTGATACTGCGAATGACACGCATCATATACGAACAAACGTACGAAAAAATGTATTGAAAAAAATACTATTGACTTAAAAACTATTAATAGGGATATCAGTGCTTGAGTGACCCCCATCACGGCTTCGATCAAGCCGGGTGCATCTGCCATAGACTTGTATGATAAGTGGGATGCGGTTGCCCAATTAACGCTGATCGCACTAGGTAAGATGGTAGTGTTTAAAAGGAAGTTAAAAAGTGTTACATAATTTATGGCAGAGCAAAATAAACGGAAAGGTCACGGCGGCATAAGACCGGCCGGTTTCGTAGTCTAATATGCAGTGTTTACGGAAATATGCATAAACGGCAACGAACGAGACGGCAAATGCAAGTCAGGGATTGTTGTTGAAGGAAATCAGACTGTATGGCGGTAACTGTGTCAGAAAAGCACAAAAACATCGGTATATACGAGCAACAAGTGGAACGGTCTATCAGATAATAACAGGCACGGGTATATCGCCCTTAACAATCAGTAAGACAATCAGCACGAGAATCGGCACATACTAAGTGATTCAGGCATTGGGCAAGGGAGAAGTAGCGAGCCGAGTATCAGAACAAAGTCTACACGTAACACTTCTCTCCATGAAAAAAGGACTGTCCGCCGTCCATAACTAATATAAGAAAAGCAGAAAAGCCAGTCAACCAGCAACACGATAAAGCAGCTATTTTTGCATTTTGAAATTTTCGGAACACATCCATGAAATAGCAGATAATAATATGCAAATAATATTTATACTTGATACTGTTAGAAGAAATACAGGTAGTACAGCGGAATAA